TAGGCTCTATGACCAACATGTGTCTTGAACTAATGACCCTGAGATCAAGAGTTACATAATCTACCAACTGAGCCTGCCAGGTGCCCCAAATGATCTTAATGAGATATATATAGAAACATAGATATATAGATAAATATATATATATATATATATATATATATATATATATTTGGATCTCTTTAGGCAAGGGCAACAAAAGCAAAACTAAACAATTGGAACCACCTGAAACTAAAAAGCTTTTGTACAGTGAAAGAAACCATCTACAAAAGGCAACCTGGTGGAGGGGAGAAGATATTTGCAAATGATCTATTTCATAAGGGGTTAGTATCTAAAACATAAAGAACTGCTACAACTCAACACCAAAAAAATAAGCAATCCAATTAAAAAATGGATGGAGGACCTGAATAGACATTTTCCCAAAGAAGACATACAGATGGCCAACAGACATAGAAGATGCTCAACATCACTAATGATCAGGTAAGTACAAATCCAAACCATGAGATGTCACCTCACACCTGTCAGAATGGCCAGAATCAAAAAGACAAAACATAACAAGTGTTGGTGAAGATGTGGAGAAAAAGAAACACTTAATGCACTGTTGGTAGAAATGTAAATTAGTACAGCCACTATGAAAAATGGTATAGAGGTTCCTTAGAAGATTAAAAACAGAAATACTGTGTGAGCCAGGAATTCTACATCTGGATATTTATCTGAAGAAAATAAAAATGCTAATTCAAAAAGATATGTGCATCCTCATATTCATTGCAGCATTGTTTACAGTAGCCAAGATATGAAAACAATGTAAGTTTCCATCAATAGAGGAATGGCTAAGGAAGATTCCGTAATATATATTATATAATGGAATATTACTCAGCCATAAAAAAGAAGGAAATCTTGTAATTTTCAATGACATGGATGGACCTACAGGGTATGACATTAAGTAAAATAAATCAGAGAAAGACAGTACTGTAAGTGAAAACTTACATGCGGAATCTTAAAAATAAACAAATGAATAAACACGACAAAACAGAAACAGACTCATAAATACAGGGAACAAACTGATGATTGCCCGAGAGGAGGTAGGTGGAGGGAATGTAAAACAGGTGAAGGGGATTAAGAGGTACACACTTCCAGTTATAAAATAAATAAGCCAAGGGGAGGTAGGGGTGCCTGGGTGGCTCAGTGGGTTAAGCCTCTGCTTTCAGCTCAGGTCATGATCTCAGGGTCCTGGGATTGAGTCCTGCATCAGGCTCTCTGCTCAGCAGGGAGCCTGCTTCCCCCTCTCTCTCTGCCTGCCTCTCTGCCTACTTATGATCTCTCTCTGTCAAATAAATAAATAAAATCTTAAAAAAAATAAAAAATAAAAATAAAAAAGCCAAGGGGATGTAGAGTATAGCACAGAGAATACAGTCAATAATAATGTAATAATTTTGTATGGTTACAGGTTGTAACTAAACTTACTCTGGCGGTGGTTTCATAATGTATATACATGTCAAATCATTATGCTGTACACCTGAAACCAATATAATATTATATGCCAATTATACTTCATTTAAAACAAAAAAAGAACCCAATGAACAAAAAGACAAAACAAAAGACATCAACTTGCAAATTTAAGAAAGTCTAGAAACCCCAAAAAGGATAAACACAAAACAAAAAAACAAAATTTAAAAATTTTAAGAAACAAACAAATCTAGACTTACTACAGTATAAGTGCTGAGAGAAAAATCTTAAAAGCATTCATAGGACAAATTCATGAACCACAACCAAACCTCAAGCAATAAACTTTGAAAACTGACAGTTAATCAACTAGTCAATCCATGACTATACTTTCCTGGTGTGGTGGGGCAGGATTCAAAAATCTCCCCCAACTCCCATAAGCAATATAGCTTTCTGTTGGAAAAACTGTGAAAGTTGAAAAAAAAAATTAAAAATGTTACTAAAGAGATGGAACTATGGTAAGGCATTAGCAGGCAAAAGTAAAGTCAAAAGGAGAAACCAGAGACAGAAGCAGGAACAGAGCCACTTTTGACTTAATGGAATGCTGATTCAAGGGAATCAGAACCTCAGGTTTGACAACTTTAAGGGATGAGGGGGACAGAAGTGAAGTCTGGAGTCCACACAAGGTGGAGGGTCCAGCGGGAGTCCCGGCCACCACCACCACATCTTCCCAGTGAGAATGGAGTGCATCGGGCAGCTCTGGAAAGACGTGGCTTCCCCCAGGTGCTCTCAGACCGGGACCTGTGTCAAGGAGTTCCTGGAGGCACCTGAATGTGGCAAACCAAAACTCTTTCCAAAGTCGTAACTTCATTGCAGTCCTTGATTTTACCTAAAAATAATTTCCCCAATACAGTGCTAGTACACAAAGACACTGAGCAAAAAAACCTTTGTGAACAGAACATTATGTTTCCCTTTTCTTTGTGGGAAGGGGAAAATGGTAACTTTTTAGTGGAGAAGCCTGGCAAACACCACCTCCATTCAAGGATGAAGGTCAACTTCTCTGGGGATAAGTCAGGTTGGCATATATCCCCTGATGTGATGTGATGAGGAGGGCACTTCACTTCCTTGGTACACTCTCAGAAAACCCATCAGCCCAGTCTAATCCTGAGAAAATCATCCAGATGAATGCAAATTAAAAAGTAGTCTACAGAATGCCTGACCAGTACTCTTCAAACTGTCAAGGTCGTGAAAGAAAAGGAGAGACTGAGAAACTGTCACACACCAGAAGTGAGTGGAGTCCTGGATTGCATCGTGGAACAGTGTATTAATGTGTATTAATGGAAAAGCTGATGAAACTGAAAAAAAAAAAAAAAAGAAAAAGTCCAGAGTTTAATTCACAGTGATGTTACCAATACTGGTTTTTCAGTTTTGAAAAATGTGCCACAGTCATGTCAGAGGGATAATGTCACAGGAAATGAATCTGGGTATGCAGAATGTAAAAACTTTGTACTCTCTCTGCAACTTCTCTGTAAATGTAAAATTATTCCAAAATTAAAAGCTTGTTTTAAAAAAAAGTATGAATGAGAAGCAGCAGAAACAACAGAAAACAGGGCCAGCTACAAACACCTCCCATGTTGAAAGTATTAGATACCAACCTAAAATTTCTTTAATCTGTTAGATCTTTTATAAAACCTTTTTATAAAAGAAATCTACAGCAAACATCATCCATAACGTGCAGTGATAAAAACTTTCCCTTTGGGATTAGGATCAAGATGGAATCATTGCCATCAGTACTGGGGATAGACTTGAATCCACCATCTTAAGAGCTCAGGAGCTGTGGCTGAACACCAGGCACAGACAGAATTCATCGTAACTTTTCCCCCTCACATGAATTATTTATAACAGAGGGTGCATCTAGCTTATGAAATCAATAGTATAAAAAGTCTACACTGTAAATTTTAAGCTTTAATAAGATCGAGTCATCATAAACAAAGTTCAAAGACAAGGAGAGTATATTTATAACTTTCAGAATATTTAGCAAATTCTCCTTTCTTGTTAAAGAAAAGACAATCATGTCAACTGAGTAACACTGGCCAATAAATGAACCAGCAATTTATGGAAGAGGCAAATGGCCAATAAACACTGTCCAGCCTCCCGTGGAATCAGGAAAAATGCACAGTAAATCAGGATGCAACTTTTATCCACCACCTTTGCAAAGTTTGGGTGTGGGGAGAGGGTTTCTCTCATTTGATATTGGCTCAGCTACTTAGAAAGACAATCTGGCAGGATGTATAAACAAGTAAATATTAGTAACCTTTGCCTCCACAATTCCACTGTTTTGGTTGTTGACATGAGACAAATACTTGTAAATGTGCAAAAATATAAGGAAATAGATGATTCTTATCATAGCTTGTTGGTAAAGTGAACAACTGAATATGACCTAAATGTCCATCAGTGGGGGCTGTGGGGGGGGGGGATGGTTTAAGACTTACGATATATCGATTCTATGGAACAGCATGTAGCTCTTAAAAAGAATGGAGTGTATCTATACGAAGGTGATCACCAGGATTTTCACTCTTAAAATAAGAGAAAATGAAAAATGAAAAATGGGATATGTAATATAATCCTATTTATTGAAAAGACAAGGCACAATGTGCATATTTAGGCAGAGAAGCTATATATAGAAATGCACAGAAAAAGATCTGAAAGGCTCTTCAGGAAACACTTAATAGGACCCGACTGGAAGTTGCAGTGGGGTAGGTGGGAAACGGGGCTCTTGCCTTTGACATACTTCCATTTTGTTTAAAATTTTATGAACAAGAATGTATGATGCATTTCTTTTGTAGTAAATAATAAATTGATTAAAATATTAAGTAATATTATTTCTGACCCATTACTAGAGAAAAAGGATTTTTGCCCACTCCACACCCCCCACTTTTTTTTTGGTCAGAGACACAATCCATTCCAGAATAGAAAATCATAGTCAAGATAAAACCCCTGAGCCTGCACTTCTCTTGGGTGGTCTGTAGCCTTTCTCCTCCTTTTACTTTCTTTGGTCAAGAGGACAAGGACCCAGCCAGAGAGGAGCAGGGCCTGAAGGAGGCCTGTTCGAAGGAGAGGTGTGAGCCCACAGCACCCCATGTTTTAGCGTAAGTCAGGTGTTGACTCTGATCTGCATATCTTCTCAACAACCTTCTTTGCGGTGAGTCACGAAGGAAGAGGAGGCCCGAGGGAAAGGAGAAAGTTCAGAGGTCACAAGGAGACAGCAAATCCCTGTCACAAGCCTCATAAAGGACCAGGACTTCAGACAGGCCTCCAGCTGAGCCGGGTGACCAAATAAAAAAGAAAGAAAGTCGTATGTGTGGTGGAAAGCTGGATGAACACCTCATTTCCTCGTTACCCCTTCCTGCCCTTAGTATATTACAAGCCAGCATTCTTATAAACTGGGTCTCAAGTAGAGATTTAGTTTAGTGTCTCAACTTCAGGGTCTTTAGAAAGACGGGGAAGCAGTCCATGGCCAGAGAGAGACAGAGGTGAGAGGGAAGGAGATCGAGACTGACCTGGAGCTGAAGCCACTGCCTCCATCGGCCATCTTCCCCCTCTGGCCCACCTGGGCTCCGCCTGGGCCTCAAGTGTGGCCTCTGAACCCTCCGTCCTGTGGCCTGGTTCAAGGTGGCTGCCGGAGCCCAGAGCAGGAAGTTTGTGAATTGCCTCACACCCAGAGAGCCCCGCCCAAATGGGGAAAAGAGAAGTGAAAGTATCTCTGAGTTGCCGGGCATTGTTTCCCTCCTGAAGCTCCACGATGGTTCTTAGGCCCCAAGACACAGAACAACAGGAATGGAGGTTGAGGAGGGACATTCAGGGCCCCGAGGAGCAGAGCCAGGCCCCAGGGGGCCACTTGTTGGCACAAAGACACAGAAACATCTATGTGTCCTCCAGTGCTTCCTGACCTAAGATGGTTTCTGAGTATAATGGGGTGGGCACATCAGGGGGGTGGGGGTGGGGGGAACTCCTTATTTGCCCCTTCCCCTCACCGACATGGCTGGGGGGCGAAAGAGGGAAAGAGAAAGTTCACACCTTCTCCCTTCCTGAGCCTGGACCCAGCAAGATGCGAGTGTAGGAACCCAGGACTGGAGAAAGCCCAAATTCTCAGCATCCTAAACCAGGGCAAGTGTGCTTAGTGTCCCTGGAAATCCACCAAAGGTAAGAGAGAAATCTGCAAGGCCACAGCCAAGGCGATGACGTTGGTTAACGTCTCAGGTGCCTGGGTTTAAAGTGTATTTCTCAAATTCAGCCCTGAGACACCTGAAAAGCAGTCAGTCACCAGGATGCCAAGCAGCATCGGCTTCCCTTGGATGGAGAGGGAGGTTGGAACCGACAGGACCTGGAAGCCAATGGGCAGGTGAGCCCCGTGGGGAGGAGGACCCTCTGCCTCAGAGTCCCATCTGTCCACAATGTCTCCTTCAGATGCGAATCATCATTCCACAAAGCCTGAGAAGTGACCCAGAAGACTTCATTACATTTGAAACCGCCGGGGGAAGGAGGTTTCTATCCTGTTTCCATGGATATTGTGTCTTTCCCCCAAAGGAGCAAATGGCAGTCTGGCTGGGATTCCAGGTTGTTGACAAATACTCCTTTACCCATGGGCCAGGTGTCTATACCAGGAGCAGCACACACCGGGATCTCTCTCCCGCTTTCCCTCTCTCCCGCTCTCTCTCTCTCCCACTCTCCCTCCCTCCCTCCCTCACTTGCAGGGGTAGCAGGACTAGGAAGCTGAGGCATTGTTGAGCACATCTGTCCTCTGCTTCTGGCCTCCATGGGACACAGATGACACCAGCCTTTTCTAGTATCCCCTGTCTCTCTCCTTCTCTGTCCCTGGGCAGCAGACTGACCCAAGGCCACTACCATACTGGGTATTGGCATATATGTGCCAGCTTTTCCATGGGTCTGCATAGGGCACCTGGAATAGAGGCCACTGAGTGGCCGGCAGGGGTGGGGACATCCACGGGTGGCTGCTGCTGCGAGGAACCCTGACACCAGGGCGCTGTCCTCAAAGTAGCCCAATGCTGGACCTGGAGGCCTGGAAGGTGGGAGAGGCATGCTGAGAAGGGACTATGGGGCAAAGGACCCACCAGGGGACAGGCTCTGTGAATGTCCCCAGGAGCAGCTTCTGTTCAGACTTTCATAGCAAGGCTAAGTCTCCAATTCAGGAGACCCCTGTGGGGACCAGAGGTTTGTCCCTAGGAACTCAAAGGTGGGAAGTCTTGGTGGCAGCAGCCACAATGGCCCGCTAGGGAAAGGACATAACAGACTTGGCACTTCTGTGGATGTGGAATCACGGGGAAACCCGGCACCTGGGATGTAAGTGGGAACACTCAGGCCCTGCTCCAATGTCCCTGAAAGGAACATCCATCAGTGGGACTCATCTGGACTCCCTAACCTTCCCTCCTTTCTGCAGAGACTCTGGTGGAAGGGGTGAGCCGGCTCCTTGCTGGGTCTCCCAGGGCTCATGGCACCTGAAAAGGCTAGGTCTCTTTTGGCTTTTCCAAGGTCAAGTGCACAGGGACAGGACGTTGTGGGGGTTGTGGGAGGCTGGGGGTGTGTCTGATTGATTAGAGCAGCCTGAGGCTGTGTGGATAAGCTCAGGTTGGGGGTTCAGTTTGAAGGATCCCTTTTTGCTATATACTAAGCCATGAGTCCCAATGTAGCTTTTATCAGGAAGAAAGCAGGTATTTTGAACCCCCTCTATTCAGTTTTATACCGATCTGCCTGCTGGTGTGGAATTCAGGTGAGGGAAAGGGAAGCAATTTGGGGGGTGGGGGCAGCGTATGGGTACACATATCTTTCCACGAGTTCTCATCTACCCGTGCCCTGGATGGGTAAAGAGCCTCAGAGTCCTACCCTCTTGCAATTGCACGGATTTTGTGGGTATTTGGCGGCAGTATTTCTGTGTTGAGGGGCTGAGGTGGGGGCGGGGCCCTTTTCCCACTAAACCAGAATCTCAGGGACCCCGCAGTTGGTGGCGGAGGCGCAGATTCCTGTTGCTGCCAAGTTTGTACAGGGCCAGAGGGATTGCTGGGGGTGAAGTGTGAAGGTTTCTACAGGGAAGAGAGTGACTCCTTGGAAAGGGGCTGGGGAGAAGAGGAAGTGGTTAAGGGGCGTGGGTTGTGGGGAGTGACAGAGAACTCCCGGGCCCCTTGAGAAATACGTCTGGACCACTTTCCGAAAGCCTGCACTCCCCTCTAGTGATCATACTAGGCATTGCACTCTCCTTAGACCTGACGTCCGTCGCCTGCTCCGCCTGTTCCGAGAAACCGAAACCGGAAATTGTTCTTGTAACTATTTAACCCCTGGAAATCAGTAGCAGGAGTGCCTTTATTTCTTTCTACATGAAGGTTAACCAATTTAAGGATTGGGTCCTGAGATGATTTTGAGATGCACACACGGACAAGCTTCTGGCCTGGACAGGGTCCTCCACACCCGCTGACCATCATCTGGAGGTGAAGGGGAGGGAGACTGCTAACCAGCAGGAGCTCTGGCTAGAAATGGGTGTGGCTGGGGAGACCTTGGGCACTCCCAGGGCACCTGTGCCTGGGGCTGAGAAAGTCTCACGCAGAGGATGAGGTTGGCCTTCACAAACCAGCAGCTTGACAGTCCTGGGCCAGGGAAATCCCAACAAGAGTCTAACGAACACCCCCCTACCCCCTAGGGCCAAGTCCTGTGCTTTTTCCCCCGGCCTGGGGCCTGCGTTTCTCACGTGTACAAGTACTGTGCTGGTGAAATGGGCTGGCATCCTGGAGGATCCAGCACACTGATACACAAGGAACATGTACGTCTGGCCAGGTCATCTAGTGGCCCTGGGAACACAGAGATATGCCCCTGAAGCTCTCCACCAGGCTCTGTGGGCCATCCCATGTCTCACCTTAGAGTGAAGTTTGTCAACAGCAGGTATCCTCCCGGGTCTCCTGCTCCAATGGTTCATGGTCAAGACCACAACCAGCATAATTGTAAGGATTTCTCAAGACAATGACACTGAAGTTAAAACCTCACCACTCTCATTTGACTCTGGCTCATAAATTATCCTGGGGCATTAAGGGAATACAGGGAAAGTTCCCTAGAGGTCGGATGCCATTTCTGCAACTTCTCCCACCTTTTGAGAATGGCCAGTGGGCTCTGTCGTATAGGTGAAACCCTCCCCTCCATAGAGAAGGAAGACCCCTCTGCCTCTTCTGGGCATTCCATCTATAGTCTATGGCACCCCCCCCATGAATAATTCAAGGGTGGAGGGGAAACTTCAGCCTCCTGAAGGTGAAGCCAGGGTGAGGGGCTTTCATGTGTCCAAGAGCCTGGATCCCAGGCCAAGATGTGAGGACAATAATGGCTTCCTTGAGCTGTGCCTGCAAGAACCCAGCATCAGAAATTGTGTCCTCGCCCCCTAGGGAAATTCAGCAGGTCGGGCCTGGATTTACCACTTGCCATCAGATGAAGGTATCGTGTAAGAATCCAGGGACTGTCTTGTATTTCCTGAATACACACGAAGTAAAGGCATCAGCCAACTCCTACAGTGCACTTCCACCACACACAGGGACACAAGATTTTGCAAAAACTTCAAAGAGTGGACATGTCCAAGGGCATGCTGAAAGCATCTGCCACGGGCTCTGTCTCTGTTCTCAGAGACCCTGGGAAGTGGTCACAGACACCAGACAAGCCAGAAGCTGGGACCACATCGTTTTGTAGCTAAGGCTCATGCTCCTGAGATCTCAAGGCTGGGGTCCTGCATCTTCCTCCCCATCCAAACACAGGCAAGCATAGAAGGGCCCTCGGAGATGGTGGGATGGAATGTGGTCCTCCCTGCCTCCCCAGCAGCTCTGGCAGAGCTCAGGGCCACCCCTTCCCTGAACACTCCCCACTCTTGTGGAGATACAGGTGTGAATACTACTATGTTTGGTATGAACTAGTGTAGACTCTTTCTGTCCTACACATGGGACTCAGGGGAAACTTTGGAGGATGACCGGGGGAGAGAAAAGTCCTAGATTTGATGGAAAGTAGGAATCAGTAGTTCCAGGTCAGATGAAAAATCTCAGACCCGTGGGTCTGAGCAGCAGGGTCCGCTGAAGTTATGATAAGAATCTGATTACTGTTTGGCACAACTCCTGTGTCCAGGATGGGTCTAGATTTACTAAACCGGAAGCTATTCGGCACCTCTTGCTGGGCTTGGAATGGTCACTCACAAGGCCCGGCTCAGAACACCCCCCCCCCCCACCGTCGCCTCCTCATCTCCAGCTCAGACTAGTTCAGCCTGCTTTCACTTGGTCCCAGGCCATCAGCCAGCAATGTGGGGAGGGCTTAGACACTGGGTGTTCCTCTCTATGACTTTCTCTTTTCTAGCATTTCCCCCTCACTACCCAGAAAGCTTAGGGACTCTGGCCTTCTTCCCTGGCTTTGCTGACCAGAGGGAATGTGGGCTTTCTACCAAAGTTTTTGTCACCCCATGCAAGACTGGCCCAGCGACTCTGGGGCCAGGTGATAGTAAACAGTAAACGTCTTACCATTGGCTGTTTCCTCTTGAGTTCTGACTTCCCTCCAAAGTCGGCCTACTTTGGTTTACTTTTCAGAGGCCTCTGGGAATGGTTCTTTGTCCAGAGCTTCTAGCTGTTTTCCACAAGAGGCTGGTTGATGAGGAACCCAGGCTTGCA